AGGAATCAATAAAGAGCTCATTGATGCCCCAGTACTCAATCTCCTGGCAGAAGGAGAACACACACAGCTCCTCCATGACATGCAGCTTCCCCGTGTAATAGAAATTCAAAACATATCTGAACAAGGAGGGGTTGCGATCAAAATAGTACTCTTTATCAGCCACACTGTAATCATCGCACAGCTCCAGAATGGCCTCCTCAGAGTGGCAAGTCAGCAATTTGCCCAGTCTGGTGTGTGGAAACCGCAGGAGGGTGCTTTGGTCAACAGACTGCTTAAAGCCCCCCACATTCAAGTTGACAAGTTCCTCGTCTTGTCCAGGGCGATGGAAAAATTCACCAAACACCATGATGGATACAGGAGGCAGCGTGCTGGCTGGGAAGCAAAATGAGGAAGATCACGCTGCACCTGGAAGGAGCACAGACGGCATTAGTGTTCAGTCCCATTGCCTTGCCAAGCTGATTTTTAATCTGCGATTTCTAGAATAATGGGCTACCTTAAAAGCAAAGCAGGAAATGCAATAAAAATGAATACATTATTATACATTTTGTTAAAAGGAAATCAACACAAAATAGTTCTCTTTTTATCAAAAATTCGAGTTTATAGACTTAGTTTTTTAGGAAGGAGGAAAGACTGAAATATAATTATGAACCCTAATTCATATTTCTCTACTTATTAAATATCTGGACTTTACCTTCCTCCTTTACCCCTCCCCCAAACAATCTAAAGGCCACTTACACAATACAAGCATCTCCAGAGTTTCAACCATGAGGCTCTCCGTGTTTGGAAATGCTCCGTTCAGACGTCATAGGCTAGTTGCTGCCAGGCTTGTAGCTCATTCCCTGTCCCCGCGTTCAGTCACACACCCACAGAAACAACCCTCTCTTCTGCTCCACACTTTGTCCCTAGCCTGCACAGCACAGGAGGCTCAGTTCAGCTCTTGGAAATGATGTACGTTTCTCCTTATGCTCCAGTGTTTTACTCCTTCAGGAGAAAGCCCTATTCCCTGTTTGGATGTGGACAATCAAGGGGATATAATTATCTCCCTGTCCTTAAGTACCCTATATCTTAAGGATATCATTACACTCATGGGATGATGTTTCAGGCACATCTACGTGGAAAGAAACTGACTTGGAAAAGCCTTTTTAAGTTAATTGCACTATCAGTTTCCTGACACAGACACACTCCTCTCCAACACCCTCCCACACCATGTTCTACCCAGTCCTGATCTGTGATTATCTCCCCATTGATATCCATATCTTTAATGGCCAAGCACACAACTGGGTTTTAGTTCTGACACTAACCAGGATGTACCAGACTCATTTCTGAAAAAGTACATCATAGATGTTGACCATCACTCAATACAATGATGCTTTCTCAGAGCAGATGGTACAGATAAAAGAAAGGTGGGAGACTCTCCTATACTGAATGCTCAGCAGGTGCTGTTGGAAGCCATTTATGTGTTTTGCCATTTAATCCTCCAAATACTATCATGTAGGTGTATAAAAAATTTTTACTCCAAGATGTTGAATCCAAGGTTTCACAATAACTAAATGAAAGAGCCAAGATTTAAACCCAGGCTGAATTAACTTTGAAGTCAATGTTCTTTCCACTATCAAGACCCTCATCTTCTCCATGTTCTCCTTTGTTATAGCCCAATAACCCAGTGGGGGAGATACTACACCACAGGGGAGTCAAGTGCCTGTGAGACTATAAGAAAAGAACACTGAGCCCTGGCTGGAGAGGTTTCCTAGCAGAGGTTACATGCAGCTCAAATGGTGAAGGTTCAAGCATAGTTCACCAAACAGGAGGGAAAGGAGGGCCCAGACTCATGGCACAGTTGATAGCTAACTAAACTCCAGGAGACATTCAAAGATTTGGATCTCCAGGTCAGCCTGAAAACACACCAAGCATCTGTGTGGGTGTGCAGGATTCTGAGGAAGCTGGAGGCCTGGGGAAGAAGAGGGTCACAGCATGACAACACCCTCTTGAGGGTGTCTTTCTCTCTTTCATGTGTGTACTTACTCTCTATCATGAATAAGCTTTTTCTAAAAACTAAGAAGGAAAGGGCATTCCTAAGGACATCAGATGTAGGTAGAAATCATATTCAGTCTGAAAAATCTTAATTATTTTTTATTTTTAATTAACACATGATAATTGTACATTTTTATGGGGTACAGCATGTTCTTTTTAGTATTTTAATACAGTGTATAATGATCAAATGGGGTAATTAGTGTATTTATCAACTCAAACATGTATCATTACTTAATGTTGGGAACATTCAAACTTCTTTCTTTAGAAAGAAGTTTTGATCCATACAGTAAATTACTGGTAACTGTGGTCACCCTACTGTGCTGTAGAATACTAGGGCTTATTTATCTTATCTGACTAATTTTGTACCCATTAGCTCTCATTTCCTTTC